TTGGGAAGCTGAGACAGGAGAATCGCTGGAACCCGGGAGGCAGAGTTTGCAGTGAGCCAAGATTGCACCACTGTGCTCCAGCCTGGGCAACAGAGCCAGACTCCATCTTAAAAGGAAAAAAAAAAAAAGATATTTAGGACTTGTCACTGTCTGAATTTTTGCATGCTATGAAATTCAATCTGATATTTATGTTCAGTAGTAATATTTCTAAATAGCTGAGATTTACTTATGAATATATAGCATGAGAACTTTTACTTGGGACTTGGAGTTGCAACAGAGAAAAATTACTTTACCAATAAATCAATAGGCTTGATGAGTCTATTTATTTTGCCATCAACCCAATTACCTTTCTGTTCTTCAGCAGGCTACTGGCAAAACTCAATGATCGATGATGACTCAGACCCTTCTCTTTCTTCAGTGACTGCTGCCTTAGCTCTTGTGTTCTGTCATCTCCTAGGGCTTAATGTGCAAAAATTGTGCAACCCAGCTAGGATTCCACTGGGTGCAGAGCTAACTGGCTGAGGCGTGCAGGGTAAATACTGTCATTAGCTCATTATCTGCATAAAAAATTAAATATACCCAATAACTTCTAGTTTTTGAAGTATCTGATTTTATTTAATCTGCACAATAACTTGGTGAAGAAGGTATTACTATTAGGTTGGTAAGAAAGTATTTGCAGTTTTTGCCATTACTTTTCATGGCAAAGCCGCAATTACTTTCGCACCAACTTAATACCTCAATTTTACAGTTGAAAAAACCATGTCAGGGAGAGTATCCAGGCGGTAAATGACAGAAAGGAGATATGAACTAAAATTTATTAATTCTTTATTCAGACGATAAAACTAATGTGATTTTGCTGTATCACAGCTATTCTTGTCATTTTACTCCAGTGTCAAAATTCTAGATACATATTTTTAAATGTATTTTAAAAACAAAATAACATATGCACATTATAAAGTGATGTGGGAAATTAAAACATTAAAAAATCTATAAAAAGTTTTAAATCACCCACAATATTACTGCTGAAAAATAACAACTCTTACTATTTTGATGTACTTATAAACATTTTTCTGTGTATTTCTATATTTCTTTTGACATTGTTTTGCATTCCATTCCATTTTATCATACTTCCAGTGAAGTGAGTTGGCATTCTAACCTTATCATACATACAATTTTACTGTATTGTCTTTCAGTAACCTACTTTTGCTGGATATTTAAATATAAATAAAAATTAGTCTACCTTGAATTTACCTTTTTTCAGAATGAAACCTATTTTTCTCCAAATGCAGTCTGAGGACAGTGGTGCCAGCATCATTTGGGAGCTTGTTATAACTACAAATTCTCTACTGAGTCCAAGTCTTTGGGGTGAAATCCAGGAATTTCTGTTTAACAAGCTCTCCAGGTGTTTCATACATGCAAAACTTTGGACTGAAGTGTTTGGTTTTCTGTATGTATTGATGAGGCAAAGCACCTTAGGCCTATTGCAGGCTAAAGGCAAGCCCAATAACTGTTACACTTTGAAGAAAAATGGATCGATCCTTCCTTCCTTCCTTCCTTCCTTCCTTCCTTCCTTCCTTCCTTCCTTCCTTCTTCCTTCTTTCCTCTCTCTCTCTCTTTTTTTGAGATGGAGTCTTACTCTGTCACCCAGGCTGGAGTGCAGTGGCACGATCTTGTCTCACTGCATCCTCTGCCTCCCGGATTCAAGCGATTCTCCTGCCTCAGCCTCCTAAGTAGCTGAGACTACAGGCGCCTGCCACCATGCCTAACTAATTTTTGTATTTTTAGAAGAAACCAGGTTTCACCATGTTGGCCAGGGTGCTCTCAATCTCTTCACCTTCAGCCTGCGTTGGCCTCCCAAAAGTGCTGGGATTACAGGCATGAACCACCGCGCCTGGCCTAATATTTTTTAAAAATGTATCTAGAGATGGGGTCTCACATGTTGCCCAGGCTGGTCTCAAACTCTTGGCTTCAAGCAATCGTCCCACCTAAGTCTCCCAAAGTGTTGGGATTACAGGCGTGAGCCACCTTGCCCAGCCTAATTGTTAACTCTGACTGAGAACTTTTGTAGATGGAGAAAGCAGCTGGAGTACATTGTAGACAAAGGCCACCCCAGAAAGGGTGAGTGTAAGGTAAGCAAGCTCCCGTGGCGAATTTGCCTGACCAGAGCACAACGTTCAAGCTGGCAAGCAGTTGAAGCCGAGAAAGACCTGTTAGGATAACGAAAGTTCTTGTACACGTAGATGAAGATCTGCGATATAATTTATAGATATTGAAGAAACATTACACATTATTTAACATAAAAGTGATGTTTCATAACTAGACCAACATTGGTTAAAAGCACACTTTAGTGAGAAGTTAAGAGATATTTGGGTAGAACAGCCAGTTAATAAGGTGACTGTTGGAAAGAAGATACCAGATGAAGGAAAATGATAAGAAGTTTTGGCAGAAGGAAAATACAATGATTAATTACTAAATATTATAATGGAAAAGAAGGGGAATGGTTTCAATGGCAGATTGGCCAAAGGGATTAAAAGGAAAACTAGAATTTGAACCTGACATCCTGGTTTCTCTTGAGCTGTACATAACAATTTTGATAAACTGGAGAGAGGTATAAAAAATTAATAAAACAGTTTTTTGCAAAGATTGTGAGTTTAGGTTACTCTTAACGCCTCTTTATTCCTAACCACCTACATCCAGTTGGTTTCTATGTCTTGCAGATCTTAAAAATAAATAATTGAGGCTGGACACAGTGGCCCACATCTATAATCCCAGCACTTTGGGAGGTCGAGGCACGGATCACCTGAGGTCAGGAGTTCGAGACCAGCCTGACCAACATGGAGAAACCCCGTCTCTACTAAAAATACAAAATTAGCTGGGCATGGTGGCAGATGCCTGTAATCCCAGCTACTCGGGAGGCTGAGGCAGGAGAATCGCTTGAATCTGAAAGGCAGAGGTTGTGGTTAGCCAAGATCGCGCCATTGAACTCCAGCCTGGGTGACAAGAACGAAAGTGTCTCAAAAAAAAACAAAAAAACACACAAAAAAAACAAAAAACCTTTGAAACATTTGAATCAGTTCATCAGTTCTATTTACTCTCTTCTTTGTCGTATTGCTTTAGTTTAAGTACTGGTAATCTTTCAACTGGCAGCCTATAGTTGAAACAGCCTAAATATTCTTTCTACCTTTTGAATTACTTCCCTAAAACCTGTTGCTTTGCTACACAGAGTTTTCATTCTGTTTAAGTTGGTACAAAACCTATATTGACTTATGCCATCTTCTTGCTAACAATTTAAAAATACTTTTCCTCTGCTTTTTATTGTACTGTTTTACTTGCTATGACATTCTGAATTAGAGCAGCCATGTAGTTTATCATCTGAATGAGGCCCTTGGGACATTGGAAAGTGGGCATATTCATAATTACACTGGGACAAAAGATGTCTGGGCTTTGCTTAGCTTTCTAGCCCCACCCTCTTCTAATAGCAGTTTACGAATGAGCAATACCAAAATAATTAGTGAACAAACACTGTTCCGAAGGTCTTCTATCCGTGTTGTTCACAGCTGTATCTGCAATGCCTAACGCACTGCTCAATGCACCATAGCTCCTCAATAACTATGTGCAAAAGAGGAAACGAGGGAGGGAGGCATGGAAGAAGAAATGAACAGATCAAAGAATTTTAGAAAGCTTGAATCTAGTATGCTGTTGTTGAAATGACATAGAGTTGAAGGTCTAACATCCTTGGAGAGAGGAAGCCATGGAAAGCCAAAGGAGACACAGAGAACTTGGTATAGAGGAAGGTTAAAAAAGGGAAGTCCCAGAATCAGACCACCTGTGAAACTGACTTTCTGATCTCAACCAGGCTCTAGTGAATTTGACTGGAGAAACAAGTTTTTCCAGAGCCGAATTATTCCTGTTAGAGTAACTACTGAGGTTTGTGCACAGCCAGGCTAGAAATCCAGGGAGATGGCAATGACCTTGAGACCCTCCTCAGTGAAAGCTCTCTAATTCTAGGACCATGCAATTATTTGTAATTAGTGCAATATAAGCTTTACAATGTCTTGTAATTTATTTTGTACTATTTTGTAATTTAACACACAGCAACCCCTAAGAGTGTAATTCAAGTGAAACTTACCCAAGACTTCCCTGCTTTTGTATCAGGTAGACATGTTTTTACCAAAAACGTATCTTAGTTTTGTGAACTTTCAATTCTTCATTAATTCCTGGGCGGAGCTGTTTACAAAACGTTTTCTCAGTAGCATTTTAGATGTTCTAACTACAAAGGCGATATGTAAATGTCCGTTTTTTGCTTCTGAAAACAGGTGCAGTCTCAGTGAGAAAAAGAAAATTTGTCATGAGCACTGAAATAAAAAGGGAAGTAATGAATAAAAACATAATTTAATTACATGAATGTCAGCTTTCTACACAAACTAGATTTGATGTAATTAAAGCACCTGGAACAAATAAAATGAATCAATGAAATCTCTCGCCTTTTTTTTTTAGATAAAGTAAGATTCAAAATTACATATTATTTATGGACAATTTGTACTAACTATGCAAAAAATAAGTGTGTGTGTGAGCACAAGAGAGAGGCAGAGACAGTGAAGGATAATTTTTTCTGGCCTCTGAGTTGATAACCAACAAAGCAGCCAATATAAATTTTTCATAGTAAGGGGATAATATCTATGAATAAGTATAAATTAAATATTGTTTTCAATGATCATGAGCCCCAGTAAAATAAACATTACGTTTGTTTCATGATTGATTGTTTTAGGATTTTCCCCAGCATACAGTCATACCAGGAGCCTGATGTCTTTGTTAGGTCAGGAATACTTACAGAGAAAGAAACAAATTATGAATTTAAATTTAGAGGCAAAGAATGCTCATTCCAGGAAGAACTACTCCTAACTAGTGGTTTGCTAGCGTTTGCCTGTGCCACTGCAGCATTTATCTGGGGAGCCATTTGTTCTGCGCTGTGCTCATGTAGGATATTTTGTTTGTTATAGCTATCTACGAGCCTTCCTGTGAAGCATACAAACACCTAGGCCAGACGTCAAATTACTACTGGATAGATCCTGATGGCAGTGGACCTCTGGGGCCTCTGAAAGTTTACTGCAACATGACAGGTAACTGTGTCATATTTGTGTTTTATGATGATGCTTTTCTATATGTTGTGAATAAGCAGTTCCACCAGTGGTTTGTTTCTTTGGTGCTGTGTTTTTATGACAGCATCTAATCAGAAAAATATTGCTGGATTTCTTAGATAAGATGATGAAATGTATTATTAATGCAATAGAACATTTTGACACTATGCTTTTCAAAAAGTTTACCTTTGACGTGAACAATTAAGATTTTTTTTTTTTTAATCAGCATGTAGGGGGAAAAACCAGAAAGTGAAATTGCAAAGTTAAGCCCAAAGAAAGAATTAGTAACCTGGACTAGGGAAATTTAGTATCACTGCTCCAATATCCTCACTGTGCATTCTAGAGGAAGCTTTTAGATCATGCCAGACCTTCCTCGATTCTCCATAATTATAGAGGAAATCTTTCTAAGTACTGAAATCCCATTGTGATAATAGCAAAAATTACCTGAAGCTTTTATGAAATATATTTTGGCTTTTCTTCTTGGGAAGAGGACCTAGTTTTTCTCCACTACCATGTGAAATGAGAGTATGGGTTCTCGTCAACTCCCACAACAATGTGTAAAACGTGCAGATCTCTAAGATAAGAACAGATTTTCCATCAGACACTTGGCAACATCTTACACTTTAAAAATCCCCAGGAAGGTGTGAGGTATGCATTGTTTACTGGCTCCAGCAAAAGACCAGCGTTTGATGTGAACTCCTGGGTATAAGATGATAAGGGTAACGAAAATAAGATGCTACTGATGGTAATTACTGAGTGTGACTGTTTGCCATCTGTCAAGTACCGTGACAAATCCTTTAGACAGACAGACACTTGAGTTTACATCCTGGCTTCATTAGTCACCACATGTGTAATATTGGGCACTTCAGTAACTTTGCTAAATTCAATAAGCCTCAGAATCTTTATCTGTAAATGAATTAATGAGAATACCCACCTCATAGCATTATCATATGAATCCAATAAGACAATCTGCATATGGTTCCTAACTTATTGTCTAATACATGGTAAAACTTCAATAAAAGTTACTGGATGAAGAAATTTAAAGGCTTTGGGAGTTAAATAACTTGCTCATATTAGGCTGGGTGTGGTGGCTGACGCCTGTAATCCCAGCACCTTGGGAGGCTGAGGTGGGCAGATCACGAGGTCAAGAGATTGAGACCATTCTGGCCAATATGATGAAACCTGTCTCTACTAAAAATCCAAAAATTAGCTGGGCTTGGTGGCACACACATGTAGTCCCAGCTACTCGGGAGACTGAGGCAGGAGAATCGCTTGATCCCTGGAGGCAGAGGTGGTAGTGAGCCAAGATCATGCCACTGCACTCCAGCCTGGTGACAGAGCAAGGCTCCATCTCAATAAATAATAAATAAATAAATAAATAAATAAATAAATAAATAAATAAATAAATAAAATATATCTTGCCCATATTATTCAGGCAAGATTCAAATTGAATTATTTGCAGCCCATGGATCTTACTTCTGGCTGTAGTTCAGAACCATTTATAGAGTTTTATTTTGTTTTTGGTTTTGTTTTCTATACAAACTTTTTTTTTTTTTTTTTGAAACGGAGTCTTGCTCTGTCACCCAGGCTGGAGTGCAGTGGCCGGATCTCAGCTCACTGCATGGAGGGCTTTTTGGTTTGTTTGTTTGTTTTTTGAGACGGAGTCTCGCTCTCGCCCAGGCTGCAGTGCAGTGGCCGGATCTCAGCTCACTGCAAACTCCGCCTCCCGGGTTCACGCCATTCTCCTGCCTCAGCCTCCGGAGTAGCTGGGACTACAGGCGCCCGCCACCTCGCCTGGCTAGTTTTCTGTATTTTTTAGTAGAGACGGGGTTTCACCGTGTTAGCCAGGATGGTCTCGATCTCCTGACCTCGTGATCCGCCCGTCTCGGCCTCCCAAAGTGCTGGGATTACAGGCTTGAGCCACCGCGCCCGGCCTATACAAACTTTTTGGCACCATCCCTGCAGACTCTGATTCATTATGTCTGAAGTGGAAATCAGATTGTGCAACTATAACCGAAAACCAGGAATGGCACTCTAGGCAAGCAGATACCAGCGCGGAACTCTCAGCAGTATCAGGAAGCCAGGCATGGTACAGAATGGAAGGGAAAATGGTGAGGACATCAGTGTAGCACGGAAGACATGTGGAGAAGACAATAAAATGGGAGCTGTCCAGTCTGGGCAACATAGTGAGACCACGCCTCTATTTAGAAAATGTCCCAGCTCCTTGGGAGGTTCAGGTGGAAGGATCCCTTGAGCCCCGGAGGTTCGAGGCTGCAGTGAGTCGTGAGCATACCACTGTACCCCAGTCTAAATTTCTAAATTTCCCTAAATTTCTAATTTTCCCTAAATTCTGATTTTCCCTAAATTTCTAAATTTCCCTATATTTCTAAATTTCCTCTAGAAATTTGGAAGATGCTATCTCTCAGTTTAATTTCTTTTCTATTTTGAAAAAGAACTTTAATCATGCCTCAGAGAAGGAACACACTTACCAGAGAGATTAATCTAAGAGTTCACTGACAGCTGGACTTGTCAATGCACTCGAATTCTTTTTTGTATACCTTCATTTTTATCTTATTAGCACTAAAATAGTAACCTATGATGACTTGACTTAATATATAAGAATCTTGATTCTGGTTTCTCCTAATATATGAAAATATATAATACAATTAAAGTCTGTTCTTAAACTCAAGGAACATCAGGGTATCCTCAGTTGGACTGAACAATTAAGAATTTATTTTAGTTATTTTCTTAAATTCATCTCAAAGGAAAATTAGAAAAAGAAACAAAACTGTAATATACACAGTTCTCATATCAAGGACACACACAACACACAGGACTAGTCTACTCTCAGGAGAGCTTCTCCTGTGCATTGAACCCTTTGCTCAGAAACATATGTCTTATCTTCATCAATATCTCCCTTAAACAGCATGACTGCAATCTAACTCAGCACTTCAGATGCCATCTGAGCTATAAGAAGCAGAGTACAACTTTTTGCAATTAGAATATTTTTCTTCTATTCATTCAAGATAGTTACGAACATCAGTGTGTTCAAGGACCCTTGAAGAATCTTCCCTTGCAGGCCAACAGGCACCTTTCAGTTCTTTGCCACTAACCAACCCTTCCTTTTCCTGGAAAGAATGTGGATTTAACATCATTAGGGGAGCATGATGCCACAACGCTTGGCTTGGGCTATTCCATTTCCAAGAGATACATGTTAAAGAAAAGGAGGGAGTGACAGCATGAGGTAGTCTATAAAGTCTTGGTATACAATTCTATGTCATGAAAAATTATAAATGCTCCCCTAAACCTGAAGTATAAAAGGAGGCAAGCACTCAAAAAGATGAAGAAGAAAAATTAGCCCTATAAATCAATCCCCCAGGGCACAAGAGAGATTGGCTCATTCCAAAGAACTGAAATCCCAGTGGCTAGAACATAGTGAGCCTAAGAGAGGGACTCAAAATAAAGCAGGGGAAAGGCGGGTGGGGGCAGGCCAGAGCAGACCAGCCGTAAGGAATGTAGGGCAAGAAAAAGTTGCACTTTTTTTAAAATTTATTTTTCAATTGCAGTGGGTGGTCGTCTATGGAAAGATTTTAAGCAAGATAATAAGATCTTGATTGCATTCATACATCTACCACTTGGGCTACTATAAGAGACAGCATGAAAACATTGGGACCAGCTCTGACGCTGTTATTGTGAAAGTCCAATGAAGAGATGATGCTGCCTTGAACTAGGGTAGTGATGGTTTACAGTGATGAGAAACTGATACATTTTGAGATCTGTTTTGAAGGTAGAATTGACAGGATTGGTAAAAGTTTGGATGAGAATGTTTAAAGAGAGACAGTTATCAATACTAACTTCTCAACATATGGACTGAGTAACTGGATGAATTATAGTGCCATTTAGGAGAAGTGAACAATTAAGGGTAAAACAGTTTTAAAGGAAGCTCAAAAACTTACTTTTGACCTAATTAAATGTGAAGTGCCATGTGCCATCTAAACTGAGATGCAAATTTTGCAATTGGATAAGCCCCCAAAGCCTGATTGGGTTAGAGATATAAATGTGCCAATTATTAGCATATTAATATATGAGAATTGATAATATCATTTGGGGGTTGATGTAACAGAGAAACAGCATCCCAGGAATGAGCTCTTAGAAACTCAATAGGCAGGACACGGTGGCTCACGCCTGTAATCCCAGCACTTTGGGAGGCTAAGGTGGGTGGATCACTTGAGCCTAGGAGTTCAAGACCAGCCCTGGCAACATGGCAAGACCCTATCTCTAACAACAACAACAAAAAATACCAAAAACAAAAACTAGCTGGGCATGGTGGTGCAAACCTGTGGTCCCAGCTACTTAGGAGGCTGAGGTGGGAGGATCACTTGAGCCTGGGAGGTCAAGTCTGCAATGAGCCATCATCACACCACGGAATTCCAGCCTGAGTGCCAGAAACCCTGTCAGGAAGAAGGAGGAGGAGGAGGAGGGGGAGGAGGAGAAGGAGGAGGAGGTGGAGGAGAGAAGAGGGAAGGGATAGGGAGAGAGAGGAAGAAGAAGAAGAAGGAGGAGGAGGAGGAGGAGGGGGAGGAGGGGTAGTGGGAGGGGGAGGGGAAAGGAAGGACAAGGCGAGGGGCAGGATGAGGAATTAGTCCATTCTCATGCTGCTATAAAGAACTTCCCTGAGTCTGTTCTCACACTGCTATGAAGAACTTCTCTGAGATTGAGTAATTTATAAAGGAAAGAGGTTTAATTTGACTCACAGTTGCTCATGACTGGGGAAATGTCAGGAAATTTACAATCATGGCAGAAGGGGAAGCAGACATCCTTCTTCACACGGCGGCAGGAGAGAGCATGTGAAGGCAGAATTGTCAAACACTTAAAAACCATGAGATCTCGTGAGAACTCACTCACTATCATGAGAAGTGCTCAGAGGAAACTGTCCCCATAATCCAATCCAAGGACCTCTCACCAGGTCCTTCCCTCAACAC